TCCGGCTGTTCCAACAACATACCCATAAGATAGACATTTATTCCAAGTGATTTTTGTTCAGATAAAAACGAAAAGCAAGTAATTTTATGTGACTTTTTGCAGTCTGTACTCTGTTTTTTAGATTTGGCATAAATCAGCTGCAATGCGTCTCTTGGTACATGAGAGAAAGTTTGATGTGCCTGGATGAAACAATACCCGATCGGTACAAGGCCAACTTAGTGGGTCCGTGGGGCAACTTCGGGTGGATATGGCAAACACGTTGGACTCGAGGGTTAGTTCGAAGAGAGGGTGAACGAGCACAACGCTCTAAGCTCTGAGCTGGTCAAAAGTTTTATTGGAAAACTCTCACTCTCCCTTCTCTTGTTTATACACTCATTTTGCAATCACACTCCCCGGCGGACTTAAACGCGCAGGGGTCCCCCTGAGTAAGAGGAAAGGAGGAAGTCTTGTTACGACCCACACAACTTTTCTTTCTTCAAGTTTCAAATCTTGCTTTCCCCACATTCCTCTCGGGATTAATTAAAATTAACAAACATTTAAATTCAACGGACAGTTCAGTCCCGCCGGAACAATCGGTCAGAGATACGGTTTCCGGTTGTTAAATTAATTATACAAAAATTATTCCTAATGAAATATAATGTTTAAAGTTTTTAAAACTGTTTAAAGTTTTTTCGCCGGCAAAAAATTCTGTTACCGTAATCCAAAGTTGATGCTGGGTCTCTGCGAGTCGGTGAACTCATGCTGAACCGGAATTGGGTCAGTCTTCACTCTCGGGTTTGAGTGTTCAACAAACCCACGGGTAAAGACGGACCCAAAAAGTGACCCAATGCCCAGCATGCGTAATTAAAATGTCGAGTTTCTTCAACAAAGCAAATACATTAGGAGTATAAAAAAAATTAAATTAAGACCTGGTCAAAACATTAAGAAAAGTAAACTTTTGAAACAAGATGATTAAGAATACTTGACGGCAGAAGATTTTTTTTTTCTTATATACATTTTTTCCCATCAGTGACGACGAAGTTATCAAAAACGTTTTCATGAACGGTTATGTTCTGTAAGTTACACAAAGTGCCCAGGGCCACGTTAGATAAGGATAAGATAAGGAGACCTGTCACCTCTCTTCCAAGTACTTATCTGAGAAGCAATTACATTCCGAGTTATCTCCTGCTTTGAGTAAAATTCAGCTGAATCATTACTGGTCTTTTTCTGATAGGGTTGATGGAAGGAGGAACATTAGTAAAGTCATGTATCAAGTCGTGTTCAAGATAGTGAACGGCCGTCGGACAGGACAAAGATAGCAGAATTACGTTTTAGCTCTGCTACGAAGGCATGATCATATATATATATATTATATGATATGATATTTCAATTATCATTATATTTGTTTATTACATTGACAAAAACATTTTAGATTTTTTAGTGAACAGGCTTAAGTTACAAAACAATAGTAGTAAGATTTTTGGGAAAGGATTTTACAACAGGCTTTTACTAAAAATTCCCATCGAAAAATCAACGTAATGAATATTTGTCAATTAATTAAGGTTTTTTAGTTGAGATAAAAACGTCAGTGTCACGAGCGGGATTCGAACCCACGACCTTCGGCTTGATACGCCGCTACTCTACCACTTGAGATATCGTGACTTCAATCCACTCAGACACTAACTTCTCATCTCAACCCCACCTTTTTGAATTTTCCCTCTCAATTAAAAACCCTAATTAATTGTAAGATATTAATTGGTCAAGCGGACCACGAAACTAGTAAATTTAATAAGTTTAAAATGAAGTATACTTCACTGAAGCTCTCCGTGGCCATTTCATTTGTCGCCGAGAATCAAATAGATTACACGACATTTGCAAAACGGCAAAAAGGAGGGAAAATTCAAAAGGTGGGTTAAGATGGGAAGTTGGTGTCCGAGTGGATCGAAGTCACAATAGCTCAAGTGGTAGAGCAGCGGCGTATCTAGCCGAAGGTCGTGGGTTCGAATCCCGCTCATGACATTGACTTTTTTATCTCAACTAAAAACCTTAATTAATTGAAAGATATTAATTGGTCAAGCGGACCACGAAAACTAGTGAATTTAATAAGTAATGAATATTACCAAAAATCTTTTGCCATAATATACTATATATTCACTTATACGCGATGGGACATTTACCTGTCCTCGAAATCCGAAGTCCATATCATCATTCACAATTTAAACTAAAATGAAAACCTTGTTTCAACGTTTTTCAGATATTAGTCTTCGTTATACGGATCGATGTTGCTAGATACGACCGCTAATGAAGACGTAAAGCCCCTTGAGACCGACTAAAATCCTCCTGCAAAAAGGACCCAGCTCTTTTTTTCCCTTTATTTTAACTCTCCATCAATTAATCTAATTGAATCATTAACGGCCATTCCAAGTATACATATTTCTTTTATTTAAAAAAAGAATCAAAAAAAGAAAATCTTAAGTTTATGAACTATAGACAAACTCTACTACTCCAATCGGACGAAAAAGTTCGGTTTATTTACGAGATATTTATTTTATGCAAAGACTCCACGAAGAAAAATTGATGTTCAACATAGCTGAAAAAACATATCTAATGTACTCTGCTGAATATTTAAATTCATGGATTGACCCAGCAATTCGTCTCTGTTCAGTGGGCATGTGAAACTCTTATCTTTGAGCTTTCCAAGTTGACGGATAAAAAAGTTGGTAAATATTTCTTCTCAATAAATTTACGATGGTGTACTCTTACGTATACTTATCTCGTAAATAATACATATAAATTTACGGTTATCAATTAATAATTAATATAATAATTAAATTATTACAAAACAAGGTTAGTAAGCATCAAAACCAATAGTTGTCTGCGAGATTGCAAAACGTACAGGCAAAATATATTTATCATAGAAAAATTTATTTTATTAAATAAAAAACTTAATTTAGTAGAAATGATAAATGATGGAGTAAGTGTGGTGTTTAATCTTTTTTAAAAAGATAGTTCCTACTCACAGTAAGTTGTTTTGCAACGATCCCGATTTCGAGCCTTTTTAGCTCATCATCAGGTTGAAGGACTTCTACAACCACGTCTCTCGACATGAATTGCCAAAGTGAACCCGCTGATACCTCCGCTAACGCGACGTTCCAATTAGCAGCTGATTTTTTTAATGGCGCTCAATTTTGAACGTGCGAAACGCGGAAATTATAACACAAATAAATATTATACTAGTAAATACTTAATATTATTAAATTACTATAAAAATAATAACAATTAAAATAATTAGTTTAATTATTTGGATGTTTGATATTATTTATGTACATATTTAAAATGGGAGGTAGATCAAAATCTGTTATATTATTAATGCATTTATCACCATGTTCAATTTTACATTTTCAAATTTCTCAAACCAATCTAATTCTTTCCCTTTGTTGAAACTATGTAACTAAATTTAGTTTCTGAATAAATATGTTTTAGAAGATTCAATTCTACGTTTCTTCCTGGACAGTTTAGGCTTCTAAAATTTTTAAATCTAAACTGATTTTATTCGTATTTTTTTATAAAAAGTATTTCGAAGGAAGGATGCAGAAGAAGAAGTAAGTTTTGTAACTTATGCCAAGCTTTCAACCTTTATTGAGGTCTTCATCAGGGCTCCACAAGTAATTACAACGTTTATAATTAATGAACAATAAGTAACATAAAAATTCTCAGATAACAATGGATAACTTAATCGTCACAAAGTTAAAAGTAAAATATTATAATGATAGAGGTTAAAAACAACTGTATATATACGTAACCCGATGAGAGGTGACCTATTATATAAAACGTATTTATTTTGTGATCTTTTTTTTCTATAAAATCAACTATTTATAAACATCTATACTGTTTCCCCTTTTAAGAGAAAATTCCCACTTTTCATGATAGTTTTGTAAAGTGGAATTCAACTTTGATTTGATGTTATTTAACGGAGTTTGAACTTCGCATCAGAACCAATCGAATTGGAAAAGGATCAAAGACATGTGAAAGGTACGTGCCCGTAAAACGTATAAATTCCGCAAGCTTTTGTCCGTCGATTTGTCCGTTGCATGTTCTACCTATACCCACAAAAATGCCTCGTTTAGAATGTTTTAATTTAATTTTCCCAGGCTTTTCTAGCTTGTTTAAATAGAGATCAATCTTTTAAATTTATAAACGAATTTATGAACACTCTGGTTCACGGTCTTGGAGAAAAAAAGCAAATTTAGTTGCTACTGCCAAACTTTCGACCTATTTTAAAATTCACTAATTTCGTGGTCCGCTTGACCAAATAAATCATTACAATAAATTAAGGTTTTTAGTTGAGATGAAAAAAAGTTAATGGCACGAGAGGGATTCGAACCCACGACCTTCGGCTAGATACGCCGCTGCCTACCACTTGAACTATCGTGACCTCGATCCACTCGGACACTAACTTCCCATCTCAATCCCACCTTTTGAATTTTCCCTCCTTTTTGCCATTTTTCGAGGTCACGATAGCTCAAGTGGTAGAGCAGCGGCGTATGTAGCCGAAGGTCGTGGGTTCGAATCCCTCTCGTGCCATTAACTTTTTTTCATCTCAACTAAAAACCTTAATTTATTGTAACTATTTTAAAATGATCATCAGGGTAAAGCAATCTTAAATATGCTTACAGATTGAAATACTTAAGTTTTACAGGCGATCTCAAATTTCCTTGAAGACGATTCAGCCCCATTATGCCAATATGCCAATAATATTACAATCCTAGGCAATGTTGAGACTGAATCGGTCTTTAAGAAATTCAAGATCTTCTGTAGAAACTTAAATATGTCAATCTGTAGACATATTTAAGGTTGTTTTGCCTTGAAACTAGGTTGCAAATAGGTCGAAAACTTGGCAGTAGCAACTAAATTTGCTTTCTTCTTCAAGATCATACCTTGATCCAGAGAGTTCACAAGTGAAAAAGTGGTCGATACTTCTAACACTGAAAAAAGACTTTATGCCAATTAAGGAGGTTAAATTATTAAAAACAACTTATGAATTTTTTATTTTTTATACATATTTTTAAATGATGATTTTGTACCGATCTCTGATCTACAGATGACCATGACCTGCTTTTTTTAAAGTTCTTCTTTCAATAAACTAATAAAATGTGTATTACATACACATTGTATTTATTTGTCGATTTTTGACAGAAGCACATCATCATCATAAAAATGCATCCTCCGAAATGAAATCATCAAGCCAAAACAGTGACATGGTTAAAATTCAAATTTTGTCTAAAGCACCCCTCCGTTGTAGTTTTGAAGCTGTGGTATGGCATTAGGATTGAGTGCACACAAACTCCGACCTGAAATTTCCGTGCACTGAATGGCAGGAGATAAGCAGCACGCTCCGGAGTTGTTTAAGTCGCACTGAAAAATTCAATTATTATAATTAGTATATTTTATTATTATTGCCAACATATATTATATTTATATTAACATTTTATATTTATATTTCTATATAAACTAATCCGGGTTCTCTATCATCTAGGTTCTTTACGAGAGGAACTCTTCAGTTTAGGTCGAGGAAGTTGCCACTATTTGAATATTTTCAAAGAAGCGAGATTGACACATGGGGATATGCCACCGTAGTTTATGGAGAAAACGATGAACTTATTCATTCTATGAAATTGGCGGATTGATGTTCTAATCACAAGGCCGAAATGCTATCCGTTTTGAAAACATTGGAATGGATTGGACAGCTCAACTTAGAAGAAAGTAAACAATCAGTTGTGATTTGCGCAGATAGCCAAATTTCAACGTTGATACCGCACAGGAAAACTAACTACTTAAGGCAACTTGTACATGAAGAATGGATCGTCTGATAATGCGATGGATAAAATCACTCGTCGGAACAAAGGAAACGACGAAGCGGGTCGGTTGGTAAAAGAAGTTGCCTCAAGCGATCAGATGGCTATATTCAAGTCCCAAAAAGTTATGTAATAAAAGCAGTGAGAAATAAAAGCCGTGCAAGTTTGGCTTGAATGAGAAAATAGAACAACAGGGCAGCAATGAAAGCATTTTTTTCCAAAGATCGAATTTCGCTTAACTATCGATCAAGCAACGATCGAGCAAAGCTACGCTGTCACGGTTTCTGAGCGGGCATGGTAGGATAAAATTCTATCTTTGTGTGTGACTGCCACCTTAACATTTCATCAAATGTTAAAAGGCGCCAGCCATCTTATTTTTGAAATATGCCTTGTTTTGGATTAGTGTAATCTCTAATCCAACTCCCACGCTCCTTACAGACCCAGTCCTGCTCTACTCCTATGATAGAACATTTCCTCGTGCCTCTCTTGTCTCACGTATTTTTTTCACCTTTATTAATTAAAAAAAGATCCAAAATCACGCGAATCTCCGAAAACCCTCGGTGCTTCTACATCGATCTCTTCCACCTGAAATCATCTGATATTCTGCGGCGAGGTCAGGTGAAATCGGGCCCGAGCTCCCTCCGCTTCGTACAGCCGTCATTTGAAGGAAGATGGTAAGTCCGTTATGAATCTCTCCCAATTTTTTTTTTCTTTCCTTCCAAGGCATTGGCCGTAACAGTAAGGTCGAGGAACCAAAAGAAATATTATTAAGTGTAAAATTATATTTGAACGGTTAATATCATGTCATGCTGCTGCCCATTTTTCTGTTCAGAGAGCATGCAAATACTTGTTATGGCATACCCTCATTTGAGTCAATTCCTCCCGGTTCGCGTTTCATTTTCTTTTCCAATAATCCATCACTAACTGAATAGAGTAAATAAATTGATAAATTTCTCGATTCAAGAATGCTAAAAATTTATTATAAAGTATCAATTGTCTTTACAAAAGTTCAAAATTTACATGAAATGCTTGATAGTCTGTTATTTTATATATTAAAACCCCTTTTAGCTTATCCAACTTGACCGGAATAATTTATCAAATGGTATACTGAAAAGTATAATCCGATGAGGTATTAGTTTGGACTGCTACCAAGAAACATTAAGCCGTCGGTGATGATAAAAGCGTATTATTTTAGGGCAAAACGGGATTCCGTAAAATTTAATTGATTAACTTTACCTAATTTTTAAGGGCGGTAAATACGCCATTGCCAAATTTAGTGTAATGACATGTCGGCTTTTGTGAGAACCCATTCGTATATAGCACCGTCAAACTAAAATTAGTTTCATGTATGTATGTGTATAGGGTGTTAAAGGGTTAAATGCCAATTCTGCCATGGTGGATTCACTAAATAAAACGTAGTTCAGTGTCACCAGAACGAGGTTTCTATCATGACTCTTTCCTGAGATATTAAAATTTTTGTGATTTTAGTCTAAAATTAGATTTTTGTACATAAAATCTCATTTCTCAACTTAAGAGTCATTAAAATACAAATCTGACCTTTATTTCGCAAACTACATTAAATTTTCTACAAGATAACATTTTCTTTTAAAAAAATTTGCGCACACGAACACAGTAGCCGGTCGAAGAATAACAAATGGCAAAACCAGTGTTTTTTTGGAAAAACTCAATTGTGGCTCGTGCAATGATTTTTCCATCAAAATTTTCGGGGATTTCACCAAAATTGCCTTACTTCATATATATTCCAAGGACATACGTTTACATTTTTTAGAACTTTTCTTAGTGAAATATTTTTTGCAAGGTTGAAAATGTGATATCGAACTCAAGGAGAGCAGCAACCCAAGAATATCGTACAAGACATATTTTTAATGAAAACGTTTATTAGTTGGTAACAAAAATAGACACATTCTTCTCATGGTATGGCCCACGAGGAGCCCTGATTTGAGCCCATTAGATTTTTACATATGGGAACTCTTAAAGTGCAGTGTACAGAACTCCCATCGAAACGATGGATAGGGATAGGGATAAGATAGGCGGCCACAAGGCCTACAACTCGACCTAAATAGACCTATTGTGCTCCTCTGTTAATTACAACTCACTGGCCAGCTTCAGGCTATTAACCAGCCTCCACAGCTTTGCCAGCGGTTCCATGGTGCAAGATCTTGCTTATGGTTTTTCTTGTCCTACTTGCAAGAACCTGCACCTACATAGACCTTCTCAGAAACATAAAATGTATTCTGCGGTCACCTCCTCTTCCTGGCAGTATCTGCACAGTGTTTCTTCTGTCTGTACTCCTATCCGGTGCATGTGCCTTCTTAAGTGGCAGTGCCCCGTCAGGAGTTCAACCAGAATCTTGGTTCGGTTGCGGTAGCTTTCCAGTAGTTTTTTTGTAAGTTTTGCGGATGGTCCTTCTATGAATCTCTTCCCGTGCCTTACACCTGTGGTATTGTTCCACCAGGTTTTGAACTCATTAAGGATCTATTTTAAGATGTATCCTCTTTTGGGGCAGGCTGTTAGGCTGCAGTAGGGTTCTGGGCCCATAGAGTTCATGTTGGCTCCCTTTTTGGCCAGCATGTCAACCTTTTCGTTACCTCTATGCCCCCAATGTCCAGGGACCCGGGCCAGGGTCAAGTCATTACTGCCGTCATGGCCTCCATGCAATTCCAAACACTCTTCGTCTTCGCCTCTCATGAGACTAAGGCCCTGAGAGCTGCCTGGCTGTCAGAGAAAATCTTCCAGGAATGTATTCCTAGCCTTTTTATTTCTCTGGCACATTGTTCAATCGCTATGATTTCAGACTGGAAAATTGTAACATACTTGCCTAGGTTTACCGTCAGTTCGGTCTTGGGGTTCATCCCAATGACCCAAGCTCCCGTACCCTTGTCGATTTTGGACCCGTCAGTATACCAGTAGGAATTTGCCTTTAGTGGTGTTCCCTTGGCCCATTCTTCCCGTTCTGGTTCGAAACGATGGAACAGTTCATAGAGAAAATTGAAATCACGTGCAATGACAAAGGGTAAAGATGGGAAGAAGTCCTCCATGCAGTCACGTCGGTTGCTCTACATTCCCGCTTGTGTATCCAATAGAACGAAATCATTTCGAACAATACATCAATTAATTTGCGAAAAAATCAATTTAAATTTAATGAAGTTTCATTTTGATTGTAATTGTTCTTTAATTATGAGAAGGATTGATCTGATTTTTGTTACCAACAAATAAATGTTTTCATTAAAAATATGGCATGTACTATGTTCTTGGTTTGCTGCTCTCCTTGGTTTCGATATCACGTTTTTCAACTTTGCAAAGATTTTCACTATGAAAAGTTCTAAAAAATGTAAAAGTGAGTATTCCTTGGACTATTTATAAAATAACGCAACCTTGGTGGAATCCTCGAAAATTTTGATGGGAAAGACATTGCCGGGGCCACAGTTGAAAATTAAAAAAAAATAACCAGGTGGTTTTGCCATTTTTTATTCTTTGAGCCGCCACTGTGTATTCGTAAGCGCGAATTTTTCAACGGCAATGTTTTTCTCTTGTGGAAAATTTAATTTAGTTTGGGAAATAAAGGACAAATTTGTATTTTTATGACGCTTAAGTTGAGAAAATACGATTTTATGTAAACAAAACTGATTTTTTAAAATCACAATTTAAATAAATAATCTCAGGAAAGAGTCAAGATAGAAACCTCGTTCTGGTGGCACTGAACTACGTTTTATTTTTATTGAATCCACCATGGCAGTATTAACATTTAACGATGTAACACCTGTATATGGATGGGTGTATATATTGCGATTATGATTTTTAACATTTTTTAAAGAAATTGACTTTCCACTTTTGGCTCCGGTTGAAAAAATTAATAATAAAAGCAGGAAACCAAAAACGATGTCAATATCTTTAGATCAGTTCCTTTAAGGTATAATACTCTCCACTTGAATTGGTTTATCCCGTTAATGTGATTGCTTTTCATTTGAAACTCTAGTACATTTCGTGCTGCCATCGCTTGTCGTTTGGATTAGCTGAGAGAAACATAAAACGGAGCCTCAATTATCTTCAGATGTAGTTGAAAAATAAAGATAAGCGATAGGGTTACACGAATTTTCGACAGCCTACTTTAATGCTTTAAACAGCGGAGAAATCCGGTTACGCTCAATCCCTCCAAAACGAAGGTAATGTTTTAGTAAACGTTTGAATGAAAACTAATGAATGAATTCCCCTAAAAATTTTAATTTCTGTTACATTTTCATATTCGTGGATATTTATGCTACTTCAAACAGGCCACACATCGTCAATTAAATTCTAGTACCGATATATAAATTTTATTGGGTTTATAAATGTTAATCAAAAATGAGCCATTATGGTACATTTAAATGAGATTTATACCCCCTGGCTCAAAATTGACTGACCTTTGTAGTCGTTCTTTTAATAAAAAGCCTACTAATATCTTTAAATACGATCCAGGTGAATGAATAAATAACAAGAAACCTTTACAATAAAATTCAAATTAAAGGCTGCATACATGTAAATAAAGATCCTGAAAAATAAAAGCCACGTGGGAGTGGACTTGCTGAAAATAACCCCGGATTAAGGTTTGGAAGTTTATGAAGACAAGAGCAGCAAAAAACAAGAAAAATATTGAGAATTGGTATTTCCCGGATGAATATTTATTATTTAAGGCGATATTCTTTATAATATGTGACTTTTAAGTTTCTCACCTTTGAATATAAACCTTGATGAAAGTAAAAGCATCATGTATCATTCATCTTCGAAGCAAACCCTCCCTCATACAATATTACTCAATAATAATCCCATCCCAAATATAAGGTTCAATCTACACTCAAGACTAACCTGGAACCAACAAAACTAAAACGACACGAATTACGTTCCGGACTACTCTACAGACTACTGTCCTGCAAATCTTAGATTTCAACGAAAAACAAACTGACAATCTACAAGGCAATATCAAAACCAACCTAGATGTACGGATTAGATCTGTTGAGCACCACTAAAGCCATCAAACATCCACAGAATACAGTCCTTCCAGTCCAAAGTACTCAGAATCATAGTCAATCCTTCTTACTAAGTCTCCAACAATAACCTTCACAATGACCTCAAAATCCCTTTCGTGCAAAAAATAATACCCAAAAGATATTTCACATTCTGCAATAAACTCTCTTCTCACCTTAATCGAGTTGCCCAATCCGTATCCAATTGAAACCACCCATATAATTCCACCAGACAACTGAAGAGGAGATAGCCTCACGACCTCGCATATACTTGCGGAAAAGCAATGGTTCTCAACCCCCCCCCTACATGATCTACATTTGTAAAATATCTCATTACATAATGTGTGTAAGTTTACAAATTGTAATAAATATATATTTAAAACATTTACGAATAATATCACCATACATCAAGATTTTACCCGCACTGCTATACCTTCTTATGCCTCCAAACTCTAATAAACATCGCAGATATCCCAATCTTACCCTCCATCATCCTTCCTTAAGAGTAAATAATAAAAATAATGTCATAAACTCATTTAAGTCAAGAGATATATCTTAGAGGATGAATTATTAGTTTCATTTGCCAAGGATCGGCCTCTGGGAGCGTGAGTACCTCGGGGCAGCTTACTTGGAGCGATCCTTTACCTCCTCTACATCGCAGATATCCCAACTTTATCCTCCACCATCCTTGCATCTTTTGCTGACGACACAGCTGTTTTATCCTCGGAGGGCTCTACGCACATGTCCTGCAAATAGCAGAATGGTGCAAACATTGGGTATAAAGCGCAATGAAGGGGGCGTCGGTGGCCGCCACGGTTTAGGCGTTGACACGGCGCTCATCATTATAAAGTAAAGGTCCCGGGTTCGAATCCAGCGGCCCTGCATTCAAACCCGACGTACTTACAAATGGGCTTTTATCCATAAACACCGGCACCCTGAGGGTTTATATGACCCCTGCTGTTGCGAACCCTCGTAAAAAAATAAAAAAATAAAGGCGCAATGAAAGCAAAAACACCCATGTTTCATTCACCCTTCGAATCAAAACCCCCGCATACAATTTTCCTTAATAATACTCCCATTCCAAAAGCAGACTGTCCGCTAACTTGGGTCTTATCTAGACTCAAGACTATGCTGAAAACAATACTACTAAAACGACAGATTTCAACGAAAAACAAATTGACAATCTACAAGACAATACTAAAACGAATCAGGACGGACCAATACGGATAGAACAGTGGGGCAGCGCTAAACGTTCCAACATCCGAAGAATACAGTCCTTCCAGCCCAATTCCAATGCTCCTTAGTACGTCTCCAACAACGAACTCAAAATCCCCCTCGTGCAGAAAGTAATACTCAAAACGTATTTCACATTCCGCAATAAACTCTCCTCTCAACACGATCAAGTTGCCCAATCCTTATAATCCCACTAGCCGACTGAAGAGGAGATCATAACCTACGAAACGAGGATTCGCCCTCGCATATAGTTAGGGAAAAAACAATAGTTGTTTACTCCCCCCCCATGATCTGTATTTGTAAAACATCTCATTACACAATGTGTGTAAGGTTACAAATTGTAATAATTATATTTTTAAAACATTTACGGATAACATCAGCATGCATCAAGATTTTAACTGATACCTTCTCGTGCCTCCAAACTCTATTAAACAACGTTCGGATATTTAGCGAAGAACAACTAGCTTAGTCGAGGCCAGATATTTAAAAAAAATTACATCATGTATTTATATCTACAATTGTATTATATTACAAGCAACGAGCAGATTTAATTTAATGTTAACATTTGACAATAATTGGCATTATAGAGAAAGTTACACATTGGTAGCTGCTTTGGATCAATCATCTTATCCATATTCTTTTCATCTGTCAAGGGGGGGGCATGATGTATTTGTGTGTTAGTGTGATCTTGTGATTTACTGTGAAAACTTTTTAATAAGGTTTCGACTGATGAAAAACCAGTTGACGTGTGAAGATTTCTACGCAGAGTCCTATTGGTTAAAAAAGGAGCAGATACAATTTTACACAATACAAATCTTTTACTGAAAATTTTGTAATCTTGAATGTTGGAATATTTAGCCGAACCGTAAACTTGGCACACGTACATATAGGTTTGGGTTAAGAATGTTATGTCGAAAGTTTCGATTTTAAAGGTAATTTTGATCGTCGGTTCAGTAGGTAATCAAGCATTTTAAGTGTATGTTTGTTTAATCGTGTGGGTGTTTGGATTCCAATATAGTCCCCTAATTAGTAAGTCCTAAATAGTTAGCTTTGTCTTATGTTTTGTTAACTTACGAGCTCTCGGAAATCAGCCCGATACAAGCCGGCATCGCACAAGGGTGTATTCTTGGTCCCATCCTTTATATCATCCAAAATGCTGACCTACCTGCAAACCTCAATACCATCATCACAACCTATGAAGACGATACCGCAATTGCGTCCTTTGACGCGAATCCTTCCTAGCTACCGCCAATACCCAAGAACAATTCGAGCCTATCGAAAACTGGTGCAAAAAGTGGAGGATAAGACTGAATGAAGGAAAATGTACTCAGTGTACATTGAAAAATAGTCTCCACTGCACTTCAACAACAATACCGACTTCCACTCAAGTCATATACCTTGGACTATATCTCGACAGCATACTGACGTGGAATCCTCACATAAGACTTAAAAGACAAAAACTTAACCGAAGACTTGGACAACTAGGAAGTCTCCAGGACCAAAATCCATCTTGACCGCCAATAGTCAACTAAGTTACACAAGACTCTATCACATTGGATATATGGAGTGGAACTGTGGCGTACTGCCAAGCCATCCAATATCCAGCGCATTCAGTCATTCTAATCGAAAGTCCTTACGCAAATCGTCAAAGGTCCTAATTACGTCACTAACCTCACTAATCCACAAATACCTCAACATTCCTTTACGAAAATTTTCACACCAACCTCCATACTAACTCTACTTCTCGAGCCCTTTCTACACATTCTCATCCCGAGAACCCACCAGGTCGCCTTAATCGATGACTGCCTCGAGACCTTCTTGCCCCTTAAATCCATCACCCTGAGTGCCAGCGTTGGCTAGTTTCTCATGGCATGTGTTCTCCGGGCGCAGCGCTGGCATTAGTGTTAGTGCTGTCACCTTGTGATAAGAAAAACGTACAGCGATCACATTTGTAATATATAAAAATCTGTATAGGCTCCTAATAAATATATGTATAAAAGTTTTTTTGTTTTTTTTTTGTGAAATATCGATTTTCCGTATATATTCTATGATTGAGTAAAGTACAAAAATATATCATTTGTACTCATTCTACTAAACAATGATTTAATATTGCTGACTAGGGATGAGATGATGACAGGGTGTTTTTAAAATACCGTTTGATGTTTTCAAAAGGAAACATGAGGCCTAAAAATTTAAAATGTCAAGCCCAATTAATTTGTTTTAATAAATAAACGGAATAAAAAAATAATACAATTACAAATGTATATGCATTTTTTGGCAATTCGCGTGGATGGATTTTCAATTTTAGTATGTACATTATTCAATCGCAAATGTTAAATCATCGGTTGTTCATGGCGTATAAAATATGCATTGCATTGAAAAAGACTGTACTAACATCTTGTGATGGTAGAATGCAGTTGGTCGGGAGTTGTGCATTGGATGCGGCCAGCAGTATTAAAAATGCCAGCAGAGCCGATCGGAAATGCATGACTGAAAAGTCCAAACAAAAAAAATTCTTTATAAATGTGCCAGTTTTTGTTATCCGGAATGGAAGGTCGATCCGTTAAAAGATACCGTGTAAAAAGATAACCAAAAAACCCTCGTTGCTCCACAAACCGACTTCGGATTTATGTATGCGAGGTCTTCGCTATATCAAGCCTTCCTTGGGAAACACTTAGTCTAGATAACGGCGCTATATATCTACGAAGGCACAAATCAATTCTGATCAGGAATATCATTTCTTCAAATGTCTCACGTCGGTCATAATTCAAACATGCCACACGTACGAATGGCTATATGTTGATTTTAATCAATACCGCCTTAGAATAATCTAGTATTTCTGAATAATATATAAATATTCATTATGAACAAAAAGAGGATACCGTTAACAAATTTGAATTACAAAAATAAAGATAAATTTTATTTTTTTACGTCAACTAGGTCAAAAATTACTAATAATTCTACGTCAGTTTTATCTATGGGGAAAAAAAATCATCGTGTTTGATGTTTTTACAAATGGAATCATAACGAAAGTACTTCATCCTATTGAAAACTTTACTGAACAAATTATTCCAAACACTGTTACGAGTTCAGAATGAATCGTTATAAAAATAAATAATTAAAAATATCAAAAATTCGTTTCAATTTCATTCATATTCCGTTGACACGTCGTTCATTACTGTAAGGTTAAGGCCCCGGGTTCGAATCCAGCGTCTCGAACCCTACACCGAAATCGGTGATGATTAATGATACAAGTACACAGAAAACAAACAGTTTTAGTACAAATACTACGATTGATTGGTGAAAAAAGTTGAGCACAAGACTGCATGAGAATATTTGTTCAGAGTGTACAATTCCTTTGGGAATAAAAATAAGCTTGTCCTCCACTCAACAAGGACTTCCATTCAAATCTGATACTAACAGGTGACGTCGAATCTCCACATAACTTAACAGAAAACCTGAACAACTACGACTTTTAAACAGAAATCATTTTTTTTCCTTCAAAATCCAACTAACTCTACATTAACACTGACAGGGTTCTCCACTCCAAAATATTGGACACGCATCAGCCTTGTGAACAGGCCCTGATTTTTCAAAACAAAATTAAAGGCTGAAATGAGATTTTTTCATATTTTAATTTCTATAACATATTATATTATATATTTTACATTATGTTATGCTATATTATATTATAGAAATATAATATAATATATATTTTATATGTGTTATATATGTTATATGTGTTACATGTGTTAGATGTGTTACATGTGTTATATGTGTGAGATGTGTTAGATGTGTTACATGTGTTATATGTGTTACATGTGTTATATGTGTTACATGTGTTAGATGTGTTATATGTGTTATATGTCTTACATGTGTTACATGTGTTACATGTGTTGTATGTGTTACATGTGTTATATGTGTGAGATGTGATACATGTGTGATATGTGATACATGTGTTATATGTGTTACATGTGTTATATGTGTTAGATGTGTTATATGTGTTACATGTGGTATATGTGTTATATGTTACATGTGTTATATGTGTTACATGTGTTATATGTGTTACATGTGTTATATGTGTTACATGTGTTATATATATTATATATATATATTATATAATGTTTTTATATCCATTCTTTATTTCTATTCGCCTTGCTCAACTCAACTATGTGCATGTATCATTTTACAGCATTTTTTTAAATGACGATAGCATTAAAAATATAGTAAAAGCTATCAAAGTTTATGCATAACCCAGATAATTCTAAAAACCAAATTTTTTTAAATAAACTAGGCCATGAATGTTTTTGCTTAAAACTAATATAAAATTTGGTTTTAGGGCTTTTAGAGACACTTAAATATAAACTTTTGTTTGAATTTCAATGTATACTATATACTGTAATACTAAGGTCGTCGAAATTATCAAAAAAAAAATTAATTTACTCTGATTTCCGCGAAAGTCGATATCTAAGGGTTTTATAACTCGAGAATCACGACAATGAGATCAAATCCAAGTTTCCACGTGTTTATTTTCTGCGTAAAACACTTTTTGTGAGTAAAAATACTTTGATTGAATATTAAAAATATATTTTTTGCATTTTATAAATTCATTTTTTCACATCCTACATGTATTTGTAAAATTTAAACAATGTTTATAAATCCCGTGCCTGAAGATGATCTCAATAAAGATCGAAACGTTGGCACCATAAAGAAAATGTTTTTATAAAACCTACGTCACACGAGACCGCATCTCACGACCTCCAAATAATCATTAACGGTCACTAAACACCACACATTAATTTCATATACTTAATTGCTTTCACTTTCTTTTCGTTCTTTATTAATAGGTTTTTCAACCTACATCAATTTACGAGGCACCTTTCCTTTTGAAATACGAATGCGTTTACGAAATCTTACCAGTAAACTAGATTACATGACAATTTATGCTTCAGAACTTGATTGCCTGTCTTTTTTTTTTTTTTTTTGACGTTTTACCCGAAGTGAAATCATATTCCAGCTATACTACTTTGCCGAACATGAACGCGGTTCTGGTAGTTTTCATAGCACTATTGTTTCCCTCAGTTCTAAGCCGACCATTAACCCCAGGAGCAGTCATTTGCACATTACACTCCCAATCAGTGAGTTTACATTTTATTAATGATTACTTTATTGAAAATAATATAGTGAAGAAAATTCAATTCATTATTATTTTAAAAATGTTAGATTTTCTTTAAAGTAATTTTATTAACTAAAGAAAAAGTGAATGTTTCTGCTTTTTTTCTAGTGCACCTCGAGTTCTCACTGTTGTGGTAATCCGTTCGTGTCCTGTCTACCCTTGGGCACCACTTCTGTGTGCGCGAACCCACTCAACCCGTTCAACATTCTCGCTCGGCCTTTTGAAGTATTAAGAGCAGTGAAATAAAAACCGGCTCGCACAACACAATAAAAACAATTTTAAAAAATCCCTTTTTCAACTAAATCGTTTTTTATTTGCTTTTCAACACAATCTTCAGTCAGAACGTGTGAAATTTAAGTCATTACGATCCACGTGGGTCACGTAAGAAGATACAGACTGTATCTCTTTCCAGGCTGAGTAGAAACCTAGTGTAAATGTTTTATACATTGCAAGAACCTAGCTCCTAATAACCAAGCTCATCATGTATTTAAAGCATTTATAACCTGGTTTTATAGAATGTTCAGTTCTATTGCAGTACCAAAACACTTTTTATTTAAGTAACATTTCCTCATTTTATTGACATTGTATGAAGGTTTTACATTTATTTGTATTGTCAACTAACATGAATATATTTTATAATTTATGGTACAACAAATACGAAGCGTTACTTCTATATCTAAAATTTGTAATTATATAACAAAAATGTGTAATAAAAAGATTTAAATAAACTATTTCTAACATTGATAATAATTTTAATTAATTATACTTTTAATCTAAAGATTTAGTTGAGATGAAAAAGTAAGTGTGACGAGAGGGATTCGAACCCATGACCTATCCTTATGTTTTCTTACATTAAGGGTGTGAAAAACCGGAAAAGGGTAGTATTGAAAAACGAGAGCCGGAGGGTTTTCGTAGATTGTTTTTAGCAGGAGTCTTATTGGATCGCATCCACTTTTGGTCGTGTGTCATCGGTTTGTGATCAACAGTGAAGATTATGGGTTCTTCATTAGGATTTAGCTTGGGTTGGGTAACTGCCAATAAGAATAAATTAAGTCATTGTCTTTGTGTTGTTCGGATGTTATACTATCAAGAATTAGAATATCTTTTTTCTTCTTGTTTATTTCCGTAAAAAAAAGTTCGAGTTTTTACGATATTTTTAAGTCTTATATTTAAGTAATACTTTTTTAATGTAAATCATTTGCTTTATTACATATTTAATTTATATATCAATAAATGTAATTCCTTACTTCTGTTCTGCGAATTCCAGGTGCACCTCCATCTATTTCGTTATTTTATTTTTGACAAAATTGCAAGTTTTCACCCTCTTTAATTATTTTTACCTAATCAATTTGGTCCTGCCACTGCATGCACACTGTGCAACAGTTTCCAATAATTCTACACATTCTAATAAATCTATTATTATTTTTTATTATGGAATGTGTGTTTTTCCTTATTGTTTATAGAGCTCTATTAAAAAATGAATAAAAGGCTTTATATTTTTCATTAGTCTAGTTAAAATTGGGTAGAGTTAATATAAAAAAATGAAGATAAGTGCAGAGTGGACCTAGAGATCCATCTACCACTCTCTCTCTCTCTCTCACTCTCTCTCTCTCTCTCTCACTCTCTCTCTCACTCTCTCTCTCACACTCGCCCTCTCTCACTCACTCCCCCTCTCTCACTCTCTCCCTCTCTCACTCTCTCTCTCCCTCCCTCTCTCTCACTTTCTCACTCTCTCACTCTTTCTCACTCTCTTACTCTCTCCCTCCCTCACCCTCTCTTTCTCTCCTTCTCTCTGTTTTTATTTTTTTCCGACCTGTTTTGTTCAGCCAACTGTCCGACTTTCTATAAATATTTCTGGGAATTCAAGTGTATTTCAGTGCAGTTTGGCCGTTAACAGGTACAAAACGTCATGCTTGCTCTCATCCGATATGGACGGGAGTCATCATTGAATGGATTGATGAAAGGCCGGCTCTGCAAAGGGAATGTAAAAGGAAAACGTAAAAAAGCGTATATAAATTATTCAGCACAGAAGCGGTGAAAGAGGTTTAATCACGGAAGAGGGCAGTTGAAAAATGGTTTCGAAACGTCGGAAGACCTCGGACAATCCCGGGAACCGTACGCTTTTAAAATGGAGCTAACATCCATTCATCTCTTCTGCAGGGAGCTGTTAATCTTATTTCCACGTTTTCCATTGTTTGACTCCTAGCAGTGATCCAAATCCTGTGTTAACGCTACATTAACTCACCCTTTTCCCATCACCGCATTATTGCAAAGCACTGAGCACTTACATGGGCTTTTTTTTACCCATTGGCAACTCTCTATTTTGCA